AAGGATTTAGGAGATACATATATAGCTGAGCTGACTAGTCATTGCTATGGGTGCTTAGCAGGGCGTACCCACCTGTAATCTGTTGAGGGTGCTTGGCCGAAAGAACTCAGCTAGGATACGTTCAATAGAGTGAATTGTGTCAGTATCAGTGTCGATGACTTACTAAACTAATTATTTTGAGGATTTACTTACCGTTGCAATGTCACTAAGCCAGGAACGTTTGTACAATCAACTCTGTGGCACATTAAGCCGATAAATCGGAAAGAATACAAAGTAGCTAACTGTGAGGAAAAAATATTCGTAAACATGTTGAGGAACCTATTCCTACTGTGACGGTATAGCAATTCACTTAATTTAAGGAACTATAACTAAGAAGTTGATGAAGCCTCCAAGTCTAGAGGTCAACTTATTCGAAATTAATACCACCCGTAAAAACAAAGTGTGGCTTATAACACGTGGCCAATCACACAATCCCAAGAAAAATAACGATATCGGCAAAATGATACCGACAAAAATTACAAGGCTTGTTAAACAACTTATTTATCTAAACATACAAACTCAAGTGTGGTTGACGATACTATATTGGTGAACAAATGGATCAGGAAAAAAAGATGTTCACCAACATAAACGTTTGGTTAACTCCACTGACTAGGCTAAAAGTACGATTTTCTGTACCTTTTTATTTTGCGCATCACATGATTATTTTTCACACACAATATACCATATGCACATGCTTTGAGCACTCATGAATAAACTCATATCACCTCACCATGCATGGCTTTATTTTCACTAATTAATATTGAATCTATTAATGGATTTCACCTTGATAAACACTATTTTGTGTCCTTTGATAAATATATACAATACTAATAACAATTTTGCATACTATTACACCTATAATACATCATAAATTTATCATAAAAGCGACTTATGTCATATTACACTTTTTATGTTTGGTATTTACTTCAATTAGCCAAACTTAATTTGTTGCTAAGTTTTGTCAGTGCTTCAATCTTTTAAATTTCACCAAGTCTGTTAATCTTTCATTACTGATTGTAAAACATTTTATTTAAAATTCCAATGTTGTATTTTGGTGCGAATACACTTCCTTAATTGATTACCAATTAAGCACACCGTCCGTACTAATTAACTATTTTATTCTTAACGGTACCTCTGAAATTTGTCCATTTTACAACCTACTCAGTTGATATGTTTACAATGTAGTTTCATTGTCTCATTCTGCCAGATATGAGGGCACTATCTTTTGTTAAAGTACAATATTTCTTGCGTTGTTCATGATAGATAGAAGTTGCATACATGTTTTACAAATAGCTGGGGACACTGAATGTCTGTGAACAAAACTGAAACCCCCTTTATGTGTTCAAAGACAATCTGTTCTTGCCGTTAACCTACCCTGGTAATGCTGGCTTATTATCAAGCGTTGTTTTCCACATCGTGTACCTTGTTCCCCCTTGCCTTTTCATTTGTCTAGTCGACCTTTTATTTTTTGTATACAAAGTCTTACCAAGTATATGTGTAATCAAACTGTTCGAACTGTATTGCGCGACTATATCACATTATTCTAATAACCTTCGTCTTCTCATCGCACTATCCAAACTAATTTTCTGAATACATAGAGGTATCCTGTTTGTTGAAATTAACAGAAGAAACTTCTTAGTATCCAATTTTTCAAGATAAGTAGAATTATGAGTGCTGGACACAATACCCAGATCTGTTCAATATGTACTCTAGTAGTCATGAATGGACCATCACTCAAGTCTCCTTATGCATAAAATCAGTGCTTGTTAGAAATAAACGACCGTCTGAACACAGTTGTAGCAGACGGTCAACATTATCTGTTCTCTGATCTGGAATACCAGAATACCCACCTAAATGTCTTTCTGCTTGGTTTAACCTACCTACTTGAGCATTAAAGTCGTCTGCTAGAAGTACTATGTTCGAGCATTTAGCTTTTTGAAGAAGTTCAGAAAGCTTTCTGTAAAAGTCGCCTTTCATTTCATCCAGGGTGCGGTCAATGGGAGCGTAGGCAGAAACGACGAAAAGGCAACGACGTGTGTCCCTATCCTTCCGAGTTCTTGCGGAATCGTTTAGCCGAACAACACATAGACGACTGTTAATGGGGATCCATTCTAACAGTGCTTGTTCCACCCTCATGCTTAGTGCTATGCCCACACCTGCTAGTCCACGAGAACTGGCTGTCGGGTCACCAGATACACGGAGGGTGTATCTCGTTGGCTCTCCGTTTTGCGGAGGTGAGGTAAAGTTAATGACCACACTAGGATCCTGTATGCGTGTTTCAGAGACACAGCATACATCAATGGTACGAGATTCTAGGGTTCTAGCCAAAGAAGCCTGTTGACCGATTTGACATAGAGTGCGTACGTTGAAGGCTCTAGTGTGTAGTTTGGAGCGAGGTTCCAGTAGACCTTGGACAGTGTTTTGAGCACTAGAATCGTTCGCTATGGTGACATTTGAGGGGGAAGCCGAAAGAGGAAGTTTGGCGTCGAAAGTCGATGGAGGAGGAATAATAGGAATTGAAGAGGGAGGTTGATTATAAACATAGTGGTCTTGAGTGCTGTTAGAGGTATGAGGGTGGTTTTCACTTCCCGGTTGCCCACATCGCGGAAGGGTTTCTCTAGAGGTACCTGAAAAGGAAATTGGATTAGAGGTGCTCTTGGTGACCTGACAGAGTGACTGCAGTGCCCAAGAGACTACTGAATGAGGTCGATCACACACGACCTTTTTGACTAATTTTCGTGTTAGCTTCGTAATTGTTGAGACCGTACCGCCTGAGACGGATATCCGTGGGATAATGCGGTGTGCATTTTTAGGGTTGACCTTTTCTAACCCCACCCCTCCTTGTGGGAAGGCAGCATCGCTGTCATGCGGGTTGTCTGAAGGAAACACCTTACTGCTGTCACACCTCTGTACAGTCAGAAGTACGACTTCGCCTTCGGACCTTGGGTTTGTTGCTTTTAGTCTTACCACTCTTCAACCGACCTGTTTGACACGGTAGGACCTTGAGAAACGGTTGTTCCAGCCAGTATAGCTCGGTTGCTTCATCACGATAGACAAGCCCGACCACCACGTCCAGGTAGCAACAACAGTCGGGTTATGATAAGTAGGATTAGGAGTGCTGGATACAATACCAAGATCTGTTCAATATGTACTCTAGTAGTCATGAATGGACCATCACTCAAGGTAGATATGACTGTACACACTTGAAGGTATTATATTGCAATTTGAACTAGACGCGCAATAATGTACAAAGTAACCATTATTATGTACAAACATCACAACTTTTCTTACCCACCAACCAATTAAACATTGCAATCTAAACTGACAACACTTACAATTTTCTGTCGCATCCTCAGGAAACAATAATAATTGTTGCTCTATATCTGAGAAACGATTTATAAAAAACTGGGGATCAGTAAGTAACTGCGTAAATATGTTACAGTTTAGATGAATTCGATCAATCGAAGTAAGGTTTAAACATTTGGATGTGTCATCCGCTTTATTCGGACAAGCATAATAACTACCACCAAATTTATTGGGTAATTTCAGACAACCGTAACGAATGCCAAAGAAAGAAGACTGCTTGCCAAACACTGTGCAAAAACATTGACTGCCCCGTGGAAAATGAAACCAGTGGATATTTTCGATACGATGAGGCCGGCACACTCGATATCTTTACTTGACCTAAAATTCTCGAAGCACTTTGATGTTAGCTAGTTTAATTGTAATTAGGTCTTCCCTTCTACTATGCCAAATCAGTCGGTCATTTGGAACATAGAATCCGGCACATATCAGGTTACACATTTGATCCTTCGTAACAGTCTCCTAGCAAACTGTTTTATTGTACAAAAAGGTCTCACGATTGAGTAACTGACATTTCCCGTAATATTGAAAGTGCTATAAAACATAAACTGCGTTTTAGAATGCATGGTAATGTACTGGTGTTTCTGGATACAAACTAAATAAAACGTCACAACTTCCCGACAGAATCCTCTCCTGTTTGATTGAAAATATCCAGAATTAATCGCACATCTCTTTTAATCACTTTTTACGTATCGATGATATCACATTAAATACATATGTTAACACAATTTAATCATATTTCAGACTAAACGATGAAAGTGAATTAGATTTTACAGCCTCGTCTGGGTCATCACATTAAATTGTGTGGGTGTTATCAGACTACTCTTACATTACAAGCCTAATTAACCAAATTATTCTTATGAATTACACCAACATTCCATAATCTTTTATTTGTAAAACTATTTAATTATTTTTTATAGATAACTTTATTATAAATTTCGTGTACTTGCCATGCAATAAATTTTTAACTATTAAACGACTTCATCCATTGAGCACAAACTAAATAAGCTATTTTCCCTGAAAATCAGTGTTCGAAATGAGAACTAGCTCCGAACTATCATAGAGTTTTATATGCTTTGCACGACAAAAGTACTATTTATTGCATAGCTAAACCCATAATACGTGTGGAAGACTTGAATTGTAAACCGTGCTACGAACTAGCGACCTAAATGTATTCAAAGTGAAAATTCCCTTCGATTACCAATCGACCAGTGAAGAACTCTATGGGATATTTCGAGAATATAAGTAGTATTCAAATCTATTCGAAATTTCCGGTGAATGTGACAAATGATTGTGGCGGGTTTCATTTATCAGTAAGCCTGCACGACTTGTTCCGATATTTCATTATAAAGAATACACCAGTAAGATAGATCTCACCAATCTATGTAATACCATTATTAGTAAGAAGTAACTAGGATAGGTTTTATATGTGTTCATATTCCTGGCTGAAAATTTATTGTCAGTGTATTCAGGATGCGTGTGGTACTGAACAGTGGTGAAAACAATATTTTATGGCTATTTATTCAAAATTACAAATATCTATCACAAAATTATTTTACGAGTATTACATCGCAGAACTAGTAGATGGTGGTTTTACTTTAATCAGTTTTAGTATTCTCATGTACACGACCAATGCGTTCACAAATCTCCTCGTTCAGTGTAAATGCTGGATGGTATGCGATTCGTCCACTTTCTGTTATATACCTTAATCGTGGATTGGGATGAGTATCTTCCATACTTCCAATTGATGTGTATCTGTAATACAGAAAAAACGCGGTATTGTTTATTTAAAAATTGGTATAAAAGTCAATAAAAAAAGATAGAATTTAGGCTGAAATAAAAATATTGACAACAGAGGAAAATTATAGCTAATAAAAAACTATGCCAATGGTAATTACATCATGTAATTAATCATTAATTAATCAAGGGTTAATCACTGGACCTAATCTTGGCGACTATAAAGTATCATGTTCAAGTTTGAGAATAAAAAGTACATCGCCGAAGTCACAAGGTAAAACTACACTTAACTCCAGATCGAATGCAAAAGCTTCGATATCAAAGAATATTATTTTCAATATATTCAGACCAAACTCGTTCTCCTTCCAAACCTTCCTGCAAAGAACATTTAGCATCTTTACAGTTACCTATACGACTAACTTCAGCGCTTCAGCTATTAAGTTGTCTAGTCCTGCTGCTTTCCCACTCCTGATTCGCCTGATGGTCATCCTGACTTATTCCATCGTTAGTGGAGTGATAGCTATAGGAAGGTCTGTAGGTTGTCCGTCAGTATCTGGTGAGTTCAACCAGGTTGATCTATTAAACAGTTCCTCGAAGTGCTTTACCTGTTGCGACTTTTAGCCAAGCTAATTATCACGCGGTTTATTCGCCAACCAGAATACGACTTATACAATCTTATCACTGCGCCAAACCAATGACGTCCGACCGGTATGAGCAGTCTAGTACCCTTATTGGTCCTTTGTACTACTAGCCCTGCCAGTTGAGTCCAAAACACCAATACCAGCTTTCGCTACGCGAATCATTTACTTCAAACGTACCTGGCTTATACACGAGCCAAACGGACCACATCACACCATAAAATAGGAAATAACATTTGTACAAGATCAGGCCAAAAGGTGGATATGGTTGTGGGTGGTGGTAATTGATAGACTGAGAATAATTTAAGAATAATAAATCGTATCATAATAGTCTATAAGTCAGAATAAAGCTTATAATAAGAGGAATATAGTTATGCGTAATTTAGTTACTGAATAGTTACAAAATAAGAACAAATATAATATTAGTTCATTAATGGTTCTCAGAAGTTACCGATAAACACTACCCACTTGTTCCGCTGTTCTCGAACCTTAGTGATTGGTTTGTCTTTTGTGTTCATGACTGGTTGCTCTGGTTTACTGTATTCTCCAGCTAGTTTCTTTGTCATATCATATAGTTGTCTCATTCCCTTCCCTTACAGTTTCTTCTGTTGTTACTGATATGTCTTCCATATAATCCTGCTCATCACCATTAATGCTCTTCTTCACCCGTTGGTTTGCTTCTGTGTATCCAGACTGAGCTTTAGTTTTCTCTGCTTCCAATTGGTTTCTATTGATTACTCACTTATTTTTTTCCTTTATTGAACCAAGTCCAGGGTCTCCATAGAGATCCATTCCTTATGATAATGCTTCTTGCGGCACGCTAAAATTAGTGTTTCTCCAATCCCTTCCCGCTTGTTCTCTATAGCAGTTTCCTCTTCTTTGAGCAGATCTTGTAAGGCTTGAAACCTGATGCTGAAAGTTATCTTGAATTCGTTCAGTATGTCAGTATCTCGATGGAAGACTGTAGTATACCTTTGTAATGCTATTTCTCCAGTTATCCAGTACTTTTCTTAGCTTCACTTCTACCCTGGTAACCACCAGATGGTGGTGTGAAACTATGTCAGTTCCTCTATTGGTTCTCACATCTTTCGCTGACCTTCTGAATACTTCATTGATGCAAGTATGACCGATTTGGTTCTCCGTAGTGTGATCTGGTGAGACCCATGTACCTCATCATTCTCTTAGTTTTCTCCCAGTCCACGGTCGTCTCATGATATGCTTGTACCCAGTGTTGTTCATTCCGACCTCGATGTTTAGCTCTCCTATCAGGATGGTTAGATCCTCTTCCTAAGCACATCTCTAGGATCGACTGTAGCCTCTTGTAGAACTGGTTTTTATCGTCTTCATTGCTATCATTGGTGTGTGCATAGCACTGGACAACATGCATTGCGATTCTCTCCTCCTTTGTTTTGAAGGATGCTTTGGTGAGAATGTATCCATGCGGTTCCCATCCGATAAGTGCTCTTCGTGCTTCTCTGAAGAGGATCAGTGCAACTCTATTTGTGTGCGGAGCCTTTACTCTTCGTGACCGGAATATAACCACATCTTTTCGTAATATTCTACTGTCCAGGTTGGATCCAACAGTTCTCACTTATTCCGGGCACCTTCCATTTCTGGTATTCCACATAGTCTGGACATTACATGTATGTATATTAATTGTTACTCTGGTTGTTAGAAGGAGCATCGGCCTCGAGAATTCCGAAGAACCTCGACGCCACTATAAGGCTTCATAATTCTTCTAAATGAAGTTCTTTTAACTCCCAAGTAGATTGTAAATGGTTAAAATTGTTTATTCTGGGTCGCGTTTTCTCAGCAAGGCTGTTTTCTACGGGGTGGGGTTGCTGACCTCATACCCAACTCTTCTTTACCCGGGCTTGAGACCAGTAGTAACATTAGAGAAGCTACAGGTGGAGGTATCCGTAATGTTAGCACACGTTTAATTGTTAATACGTTAACATTGTGGAAACAATGCAGATTTATGATTCAGAACATATTTATGATATTTCCTAAAAAGCACTAGAGAAGCATTTTAATTTAAGGTTTTTATTTACAATATTAATGTTGATAATTACCCGGCGTCATACAGACTGCAGTATGGAAGTGAAAGAGATCGGAGAAAATTCCATACATCAGAGTATGTCCACTCTAAGAGTGGATTGATCCGAAGAATTTGAGGCCAACCAGGATCTGACATTACCATATGAGACATTTTGTCTACGTAGAAGATAACAGTTAGACAATGAAACCCATTATTATCTGAAATATATTAGTACCATAGTAATGAACAAGTCAACACAATAGCTATTCGTACAACTTAACTTGCAAATTAGTCAGCAAACAATTACTGAACATAGAGGACGAGTCTTTAAACATTATTATCTTATCTGATTCGCCAAAATGTGGTCACAAGAGAATGACGCAGGTTATATTATAAACATGCACTTGGGAATGCATAATTAAATAAACTGAAAGACAGGTGTGTTTCAGTGTCTAATGAAATTCCTAACTACGGCTAGTATATTGGCATACTGATCAAACCAACCAGCTGAGAAAGCTTCATCGAGTAATGTTAGCTGGGAGATTACTGTCAACACGCCCTGCTCAGCTAGGTAGGTCAATCAGAGAGGGGTAAGTTAAGACAAAAAACAACAAATTCAAGAGTGAAGTTACAGTACTAATCTTTCTAAAAGCAATTGGGACAGATCAATGAAAACGTCTTATTCTGTGACCATGGTGTGGTAAGAATTCCGGGAGGAGATTCACTTCGCTCGAGACTATTTCAATATTAAATACATGAAGTTGTTTGTGAGGTAACTAAGTAGCAATAATAAATACGACCTATAATACTAGTGTACAGTCCTAATGAGAAGCCAATTGAAAGGAAATGCTACCTTGTTCATCTTGTTTTTTTATCTGATCTCTTCTTGAGAAAACTTGATTTCTTGAAACATTTATCTATTTGTAACAAAAAAAGGGCAATAAAAAATGAAATAAGTCGAAAAGGAATAGCGATACTCACATGCTCCAGGATCTGTATATCTTGTACCCATGAAGGCACCTCTTATTTCAGGATAATCCCCTAAAAATCTTTCCAATGCACTTTGAATAGATCCCTCATATATAAATACGCTATTATCCATTGAGCACGATAAAGTCTGTGAATTTACATCGGCGTGTCGCTGTTCATAATGTCTTAAATCTGGTCGTGAAATTTTACTCCATAATGAATAATACGCATCAACTATTTTTTCAACAAATAGTTCGATTTCTGGAAAAGTAGAACATGAACGAATATATAAAAGTTTCGGTAATCTTGTAGGTTTTATATTTTCCGAATGGTTGTTATTATTATGACTTTGATGTTGAATTGCAGCATGGATTAAATGAAGTAACGCTGTGCAGTCTTTACCACCATTAAAACATATAACCAGCTCAGAATCACTTTGAAAGGAAAAAAGATGTAATAGATTCTATGAATTCTTTATATACGCGGTATTTCAATAATGAAACTGGTTGTTTGACTGAAAACCGACTAAGAAAAATGTAACTTATAGTTTGTTTCAGGACACGTAGGATGGTATGGCTAGAAAAGATAGAATTTTAGCCAGTTGGACAGTGAAATAAGAGTTCCCCCGATTTACATTTCAGTTTACCCTGGTACATAATCAGAATAATGCCATTGGGTAGTTTATTGGATTGATGGATTAATTACCTTAGAATATTCATCATTTTCTCATAGAAATTTTAGGGTGGTTAAAAATGTATATGGTAACGAGGTGCATCGTCGTTGAATAATAAATTTACACAATCATATGTCAGGTGCCGCTTACAAGAATTCTTCTTTATTATAACAAGTAGTACGGAGGAAGAGCAGTCGAATTTATCATTCATTCAACTGTTCAATGAAGTCCATCCTTTGTTACGGTAGCAAATTAGTCACCTACATAAAAATAAGATTTGATATCACTGCCAAGATTTTCTCATCCTATTTATTCACTTTAATAGATATCAATTTATAAAGAAGAAAAGGAGACACAACGAAATATGATCATACATTTAATGTTGATAGCAACTACACGGCTACTTTGAATAAAAGCTGGAATTTTTTATCTACATTTTCATTTTTTCAAAAAGAATTAAATGACACTATTTTCATAAGAACTAGATTACAATCTTTATTCTAATCTTACATATAAAACCCATATTGACACATATCTGTTATTTTTTATTTAGAAAAACCATCGACCTTTAGTGTCAAATTTACCAGGTTCATGAAAAAATGACCAGTAATTAAATATCTAAAATGATACGACAAAAATGTATCAACGCAGAGGGTTTGCGCAGATTATTGGATTTTAAAGCTTACGGTACGAATTGAACCCAAGGTCCTAGGGTTTGATCACCTATGGTTTCATAAATGGGTATTGTTGAGGAGTCTCATATTAGGACGACATAACTGTCCAGTGCTTACTGGTTTAAAATGATTGCCTGACTAAGGTCAGTCTTTAATATAGAATGTTAAAATGAATAAATTGGTAGTGTGAAAATAACAGTGTAGTTACTCAATCAAATAGTTAAATCCAGCTAATCTGAAACGAAACAAAAAATAAAAAATTAGTTTGCTGGAAGTGTACCTGTATTTATTCAGTACTTCTTCTATAAACTGCAAAGATTTAGCTACACGTTTACCCAAATTCGATTCTGCCTGCTTACATAATTTATAAACTTCTTCATCAGCTTTATTGATTGGATATGGATTATACCTTATAATGTCTGAAAAAATATGGGGTACAAAAATAAACAGATCAGCGGGAATGAACTACTTAATAACAAAACAGCAAAAAGTGGTATGATAATTAGTTACTATAAATGGGTCGATTTTACATCTTCTAAACCATAACGCAAAACGAATTCTATTGATTGTGTTTTGCATAGACATGTTGAGAAATATCATGTAAGATTTTGTGTGAAACGTCTCAACGACTTAGTTAATAGTTGAATAAATGAAGGAGTTTGTTATTCATATGTTGTGGCGCCATTCGACAAAAACAATGGTGTGCCACCGCATTCAAATTTAGATAAAGCATGTATATAGATTTTTCTTGGTTCATTTAAAATCAACCATTATAAACATTTTTTAAAAGAAATTATCATAAATAAAGTCTACAACTGGAGAAATAAACAAAAGTGAAAAAAGAAAACTCACAGTCTTTAAATAGGCGTTCAGCTTCTTCATAAGCCAACTTCAGAGTATTTTCTTCAAGTGAATCAAAAGCTATTCGAACACGATAATAGCTAATAGATAGAAACACGGAAATTTAATAGTGGGATACATTTACTAATAAATGAAATATATTTCATTATCTCCTAATAGTAGTGAGAAATAAAATAAATATATACTGGCGATTTGTTTTTCTGCTCGATGTATCAATTTTAAGTGAGCTATAACTGTATTTTAATAAATTATACAGGTAACATAAATATAAATGTATCTTCAAAATAAAAACAGATAGAATTACTTGTTATGAAATGCAGGATAAGATCCAATACTGACTAAACCTTGATATTTTTCGGCTAATTGAGACAAATCCTTCGCTATTTCAGTTTCCATAGTGGTAAGATATAAGGAATGATGAAAGAATATCACATTAGGATCTCGGATATGGTCCTGAGTACAATACAAAAAAAGATGAATCGCAAAGTGAAAACAATGGAACACAGATTATATGAAGCAATTAAATAAACACAGTAACTTTATGGTAGTGTACAGATGTTAACATAATTTTTATGCCTATAATCCTGAAATTGGATGCACAAATTTTGTGATGGTAGTGTGTTGCTGGTGATTTGAAAAAGATAATCTTGGATTAATAGTATGAGCTTTGTTAAACTAGATTAAAACAAGAAACCATTCTGGTACAATAATGGTATAAGCACAAGATTAAAACTACGATGAATTTTTAGACCGTTTTCAACTGACGAGAAAACAGCTTTCCAGGATGGATAGTTCGTGAGAGTAAAAATTATATTATAAGGTGTAAGCAGATACATAACTAATAGATTAAATTCCTCTACAGCTTACTCTTCCTGTAAATCAAAAAAGAACATTTAACACTATGATTTTAAACAATTTTTCCCGTTGATAAATGTGACTAAAGCAAGAACAACGAATGTACCAAAGTAACATAAATTCATTTATATTTTAGTTTCTTTTTAGTTGCTTAAAATCTGACGTACATTTTTTAATTATATGTTAGTAAAAATTGTTTTTGTCACGTTAAATGTCTTGGGCATCACAGATAAATATTTCTACTGCTCGTTATACATGACATTTGAATTTTGTGCTTCAAACTAGATGTTGCTTTCTCGATTCTGATTAGCTCATCCCAATAGTAAAGTATGGTCAATATAATACATTAAATTGAAATGTACTTCATTCAAAAAGATGGATTTTCATCTGTTTGTGTAAAATTTCTAGGACGAAATGAAGTTTACATTTTTATAAACAAATATGCCTTCACCATATAATTACAACACATGTATTTGAAGCTGTTTGATCTGTAAATAAAATTTTCGATCTCAATTGCAATAAAATTAATGCTGCATACCTCATGGTTAGTTCCATAAATTAACTTAGTTCCTATTTAATAATAATAAGCCACCCTCCCAAATATCCCGGTACGGCAGAAGGTGTAGAGTCCACTCTTTTCGAAATGATCTCACATGACCACGCGTATACACCTACTGCTAGGGAAGTTCCACTCTGCCTTCTCGTGGCGGGGGTGTTGTCTACGCAATTGAGAGGATGAAGGGTCCACCTAGGGGAAGTAAAAAACCCTGATTCCGAACCGATAGTGCACATGGGCTCCAGGATTCTGAATTAACAAATGGCATAGCCTATTGTTGGTCATCAGCTACTATGGGATTGTATCTCCCAAAGTTACCCCGCTGCCTTGTGGACTAGACATCCAGGTCAAGGGCTCGGGGAGTGGCTCTAAGAAAACCACCTGCTTCGGTTTTGGCATCCGAGCAGTATCACAGCGCTCATACAAATCGAATGATTTCTGTGGTACATATACATTTGGTGCCTCCTTGTACCAATGTTCATGTGTTTAAATAAATCAATAAAATAAATAGCTATACTGATCATTATGTTCATAGCAAACCTCTTTAATCCCGTATGAATTAATAAGTTGGATACCACGCAATTCACTACCGTTATTCGTAGTTTGAGTAAATAAAATAGTTTTAGACTTTCGGACTAGTTTATTGACCAAGAACTACCATTTAAGAAGTGATTCGTACTGAGTCATTTGGGTGAAAGGATTATTGTTTAACGAAATCGTTAAAAGCAAATATGGGAATTCATTAATTATTCTTTGGTTAATTAGTTTCTAGTTTTGCTAGTAACTATTTACTGAAGTTATTTTATAGTACAGACTACCAAAAAATCCTACACTGAGATAAAACAGCCGTTTAATGATTTCGGGTTTTCAGTGTTATTAACTACTACCGGTCTGTGATATAATTTCGAAAAACGTAACAATCTAGACAAGATATCTTATACTAATAACTCCTTATTCATCAGCAGCTTTTTGTTGGTAGGTAGTTACTAAGAACACCTAAAGCTAGTCACTGAAAGACAGTCGTAAACATTTTAGTAGAGATGCAATCGTCAAGACAGTTGAATATCATCACTAGTGTGCAACGCGAATAGGGTATATTATTAGCTAAGGTATTCAAGGACATCACGGTGTATGTGGAACAAATAAATAGGACAAGGATACAGAACAGAAAATCGTTGAGATATACGTGAGAAGTCCAAGTGTTTGAACTTGATTTAAAAAAACAAGCTAAAGGGAATTACACGCACTATTTAGGAAATTATCTGCTAGGTCTTAAAAAAAATTTGGAGTGGTCCGAAAACAAGAATAATGAGTTCTCACAAACGAAACAAACAAACATATGGCAACGATATATTCTTACGACTTGACCACTAACTGATGGCCTGGTCTTAAACACCAACAGTTTTTCTTAGCGCAGTAAGTTCTCTGACATCCAATGATTTTTCAGGGTTAAACATTACAGTGACCTAGAAACGACAAATTGAGTTTTAGAGAAATCATGCTAAATACCGGTTGGATGAAAGTTAGCTTATATAAATGAGCAGAACTGCTCACTTATTATGAAGGAAAAGCTCGTTAAAATGCGTAATCTTCCAGAGGGTTATGTTTTCGGGATGGGGAACCCACTGTTAGATATATTGGTAGATGCTGATGATTATATGTATGAAAGATACGAATTACAAAAAGACAACGCCATACTGGCTGAGGAAAAACATATGGAGATTTACGAAGAAATTCAGAAAAGAAAAGATGCGAAATATGTTGCCGGAGGAGCCACATTGAACACAGTCAAAATGATTCAGTGGATACTTCAAAAACCATTTGTGTGTTCGTACGTCGGATGCATAGGTTCTGATCTACCAGGGAAATATATTAAGAATGATTGTCGGGGATTGGATGTACTGACAGATTTCCAGATCACAACGAAACCGTTGAAAACCGGAAAAGTAGCAATCCTTATAAGTGAAAATCTACGTAGCATGGTCACCTATTTGGGAGCAGCGTGTGATCTTTCATTGGCCCACATTGAACAACCACATGTTTGGAGTCTTGTGGAAAAAGCACAAGTGTATTATATTGCAGTAAGTCTAAACTGTGTTATCTAGTTATTTTCAAGGGTTTCGTAATAAATACCTGTTATGAAGGTATGCTGAAAGTAGCCAAACATTCTTTGGAGAACGGAAAGTTGTTCTGTTTCAATCTCAGTGCTGCTTTCCTACCTCAGTTTAATACTAAAGAAGTAAATGAAATGATATCCTACTCAGGAGTGGTAATTGGGAATGAGTCTGAAGCCGCGGCGTTTGGAGATGCTCACAGTCTTACTGATAAAACCATTCATGCAGCAGCCAGGTATATAGCTGACTTACCATTTGTTGATGGAAAAAAGCGTAAACGATTGGTCATTGTAACACAAGGGAAAGATCCCATAATATATACGGATTCTACTGACCCTACCGTTCATCAATATGTTGTAGAGCAGTTGAAAGACGAAGAAATGGTAGATACAAATGGAGCTGGTGATTCCTTTGCCGCCGGATTTATTGCAGATTATATACGTGGTAAGCCAATGATCACGTCGCTGCAGTCCGGTGTGAGAGCTGCAGCTTATATTATACGTAGATCTGGCTTTTCCTTAGGTTCGAGAGAGTCTAGTGCGTTCAAAATAAATTTATAAAACAGAACCAAACTTACCTTAATTATCTCTAGTGCCATATTAAATAAGCATGGAACTCCTGGTAAAATGAAGATATTTTTCACTTTGACAATAGGATAAGAGCTTTCATTATCCATCTGGATTCCTGTTGCATATAGTAATTCAGATGACTCCGGTATTTTGGCAAGTTTGGTTATGGGGTCTGAAGAGGAAATCATATTCGGTTCTGATAGTCTCCTGAGGGTTTGTAAGAACTTTGGATGAATGATAATCTTTTCATTTAGTGCCTTTGCAACACCTTCATATGTCACATCATCGTGAGTAGAACCTATACCCCCCGATGTTATTACGTAGTCGTAACGGCTCATATAGTTGCGAACTTCCTCTGCAATAGCATCTGAGTCATCGGGAATAACAGAAATCTACATTAGGGTGTTATCTGTGCACTTAAGTTACCTTCCGAAGTCGTACACCAAAAAGCGGGGCAGTGAGGCATACTTGTCGTGAATTGGAATCTTTTGCTTTTCCATTCAGTATTTCGTCACCGATAACTGAAATTAGTTGTGGTTAAGGGAGATCTGTGAATAAACTAATCACTTGCAACAAATATTTTCTAGGTGTGACAAAGTCTCAAGTCCGGTGGCAGACACTATCTAAGAAGAATGTACAGTTTCTTGATGTGGGTTCGTGTAGCTCGTGAAATATGTGTCATCGGGATAATGCGTGCCTAGCGTTCCATAGTTAGAGTGAATCTGTGTACATAACAATGGGAAACCTTAAGTTTCACGAGATATGAACCTGTGTCGATCAATATACTGTAGGAACACGCTAGTTCGACTATTGGGAGGATTGTATATCTGAGTAGCTAGGTACATTTTGAGGACATGTGGTAAGTTTCGGATTTCCGAAGTCAAATAGAGCATGCTAAAATATTTGGTCACTGATGTAACTATATTAGGAAACTAGGTAGTCAATAGGAGAAACAGCTCTAAACAGTGCAATAGCTCGGCATATAATTCATACCGAGCATACTACCAATATTCCACAATCCTTTCAAATCGTTAGCAGAAAAAAACACGTAGGGTCTCTCCGGTTTTCCGAAGCACCAACAATAAAAAAATTAAAACCTGACTTGTTTATCCACAATAAGACAATAATCAACTTATTTCTACCATGGTAAAATATTTCTTTTATTATTGTCATTTTATTAGCGTTTATTTTGTTATGTGGTCTTCGCTAAACTAACTCTTATTTTATGTAAACTAAAATTATCCGTTTATTCGTGTGGTCTTTATTCACTTAATGCTCCTGTGTAGACTTCAAATCCTGTTCAATTATTACATAACCTGCCTTATTAACTTCTAATTCCTGTAATTATATTTAAACCCTTCAACACCTGAAATTATCGCAGTCTTATCTGTCTCCGGACCTCATTTAATTACTGCTCATTCCCTCCCCGAATGATTTTGAATTCCATCTTCCAATGAACTCACACCTGTCATTTTACAGATATATATATATATAGTATTGGCAATACTTGTCATTTTAATTCTTCCCGTCATCAAAGTCTAATGTTTCACATTATATCATACCTTAATGCCAACTTTTACTACATATATGGTTGTAAGCAGCTGATGCTAAACCACAAAATATAATGAATTCATATTCTGCCTCAATCGTTGTTTTAGCTTTATTCAAACTAGTGAAGAACATTAGGGCTGACAAGCGGAAATATGTAGGAGACCTGAGAACGGCAGCAGAAAAGTTTGCAAAAGAAGAAATTATATAAGAACTACATGATACTATTAAAAAGCCAGTGGGGAAAGAAAAGCAGTACACAGACCTCCCTACAGATATTGCTTCACCAACAGCAAGAGATATTAGCAAGGCAACCATATAAACCAGTAATGCCAAAGTACCATAACCAGAGAGCATACCAGGTGAAACCACTAAGGAGTACCTGAGATAGTCACCGCCATACGGAACTCCTATGAGCCTTCATTGGAAAGTCGTGTATGGAGGACAGCTCACTGATGCATTCTCAGTGTACACTTGTTTTAGATAAGACTGCCTACTCTCACCTGTTCTTTTTGTGCTAGTTGCTGACTAGAATATGAAGACCTCCACAGTTCATGATAAGCACGGAATACAATGAGGACTGAAGGCGTAGCTGAGTGATTTTAATTCTGCAGATGAATCGGCCTTCCTGTCCTATACACAGCGGTAAACAAGAACGAATACAGCTAGTGTAGAAGATTTCGCAGAAATAAGCCTCAATATTAACAAGGAAAGAAGCACGAACCTAAAGTATGACACAGAGTAGCATGTTAGCTCAACCTATGTCAGTTTTCTTGACGAAGTGGGGATTATTGTCTCTGTGCAGTAGTGCTACTGAGTAGCAATTGGAAAGGAATTCTCGAGACAAAGTCCCTTGGAGGTTCACAGCTAGCGACGTATGTAGGCAAATACCTCTTGAGATGAAAAACAGGGCTACGCTATAAGTAGAAAAAACCACTGGAGTGAGGAGGAACGTTACGACACTACTATTCAGGACCATGTTAGCGCTAGTCTGTTGTCTGCATTATGCTCAGTGGGTGAGACTGTAATTTGTGAACACCCTGTGAGCGATGCTAAAATGATCTTGGGGAAACTCGGTCACTTGCTAAGGTCACACGAGGGTTATACATTAGTGGCGAAACATGATTGCGATCTCCAGCTAAACAGGTTTATTGCTCAAATATAAGGTTATTATTACGAAATGACATCAGCAATAATGCCAAAATAATATATAAGCAAACAGATAAGTGAAATTCTTGCAACAATCCAACGACCAACTCAAATCTCGTAAGTCATAGTTCCACTGTGCAACACTAAGCGGATAGAGTCGCTTTCAGTTACTGAAAAGGTTAGAACATCTTTGGACCGTACAATTAGATACCTATCAGACCGAGGGATTTGGGAGATACCATTTTTAGCGCGCAAGACATAGTAGTCACACACCGCGCCATGACCTTCAGCTGGACAACAGACCCACATTGGAGAAGACCGAAGGCCCAGAGGCCTGTGTTAATCCTGCTAATTGTGTTGTCTCAGTTGATCTGACTTTCTTTTGAAGGAGTCAACAGATGTGGCTTCAGTCACGTGTTACGGTAACTAATTCTTATTAACGATGATCCAAGGTTAGTTTCAGTTTCCGTTTCGTAAGGACAGGAGGCTTGGTAGCTTCTGTTAGTCCTGGCAATGGTGATCCCTCAGTTGATCCAACTTTCTTTCGAAAGGGTCGACCGATGGAGCCTCAATCACATGCTGAGGTAATGAATTCCACGCGTTGATGATTCGATGGGAAAGTCGATAGTCAGCTGACAAGTAATTTGTTCTAGACTTGTGAACATTTTTAGAGTGTCCTCGTAAATTCTCTGTTTTGGAAGTCAAGAAAATGAGGGCATATCAGGTGCAGATTTATCACTAAGCAATTCGAAAACTATGATCAAGTCGCCTCTAGTTCTACGATATGACAACGGGAATAGGTTTAGCTTGGCCAGTAGAGCATCATAAGGAAGCTTTGCTATTCCGAGAATCAGCTTAGTTTCTGTTTTCTGAACCTCTTCCAAAAGCTCACTCTTTTTTAAGCAGGGGCTAGCTGCTTGCATGCAGTACTCAAGTTTAGGACGTACGAACACAGCCTACAAATTCAAAGAAGTTTTAGCGTCGACACGGCTAAAAGCCCTAGGTATTGACCACAAGGTTCTAAAGCCTTTCGCGGCTATCGCACGGCAGTGTGCAGTAGTCTTTTAGTCCTGGCTAACGATGACTTCTAAGTCATTATGTGTCTGGACAACATATAGCTCAGTGTTATTCATGGTGTATGTATCCGTACCTAGATGACCGATATGCATCACAACATACTTGGAAGTATTTATCGGCAACTGCCAAGTTTGGGACCATTCAGATTATTTCTTCAGGTCATTTTTGAGTTCTAAGCTACCACCCTTACATCGTGTCGTTCTCCGTATTTTGACATCGTCAGTATATACCAAGAGCGATGATGATAGGAGACGAGGAAGGTCATTTACATACAAGAGGAATAGCACTGGCCCCAAAACTGTACCCTGGGGCACCCCACTAAACACAGTTTCTCAGCTAGATAACTTTGAGTTCACCCGTCAAAAGCTTTGCTGAAATCAATATGGGCTACGTCTACTGGTAACTTTTGGTCCTTAAGAGCGCATCAGCTTTCACGAGCGACTAATAAGTTAGCGAGACAAGTTTCTTCTGTTAGCCGGGAAATCGAAGGCTGATCACAGTGACAGATCAGTTATTTTTCATAGAATGAAGGAGAGTGAAAGCTCTGAACCAAAAACTCGATTTTGGCATGACATTGTGCTGATAAAACAGCTACTTAATCAACTCATGCCTCAAAATATCCCCGGAGTCACCTTACTAAAGGTGTACAGACTAGGTAGTCTAGCGAACTTGAAGCCTAATCAATACAGCATATAGTCAGCTGACAAGTAATTTGTTTTGAGTGTGAATGTTTTTAGAGTGTCCTCGCAAATTCTCTGTTATGGAAGGGACAAAAAGTAAGAATATATCAAATGCAAATTAATCGCTAAGTAACTTAAAGACGTTCATCATATCACCTCTAGTCCCTCTTGTAGCGGTAAACACATCCACAAAATAAATAGCTCCGTAAGTTTTCGACATTGGATGCTGACCACATTAGTTTTAATGAACTCACCTAGCTAAAGGTGTTCAGTGATACATCCGCACCAGATCACGAGTGGGAACGCCATGCTCAACATTCCCTGCAATTGCTAACCAGATTAGACCACACGATCCTCGATATATTGATAGCCTATCAAATATATCTTCAAGCCTACTCGCTTCTGTCCATTGATTTCACTTGGTGCGTACGCTTCATATTAGAAGGTGTTACTGGTTTAGGCGTTGTCAAACTCCGAATGCTTGTGACATCTTTATTAGTGAACCCAACGTGATCTGGTTCACCTGATTGCAAACTGTGAGTCTGTTCCTTTTTGGGATTTTATGTATCATTGCGTTATTTTAATTTTTATACATTGTTATGCTTTTTTCCGTATATTTGGGTACATATTTTTCATTCGTTCATTCTCGTACTCGATATTTCACCATGACTGAACAGAAACTCAAGGTACGTAAGCTAAAGACGATGTCCCCACCTTCGTTCCAACTAACGCCCTTCTGGCCAGACAACACCAAAGCCTGGTTCTGCTACACAGAAGCCGACTCCTGCGAGCACGGCGTGATCGACACACGTGCACAATTCCTCGCATTAATCAAGGCACTACCGCGTGAATTCAACAGGTACGTAACACCTAGCATGTATACTAGTGATGTTTCGGAACCCTACGAAACACTGAAACGATCAGTCACGTGTTGCGGTAATTAATTCTTTTTGTCGATGATCCAAGGCTAAAGTTTATAGTCAACTGACAAGTAATTTGTTTTGAATGTGAATATATTTAGGGTGTCCTCGCAAATTCTCTGTAATGCAAGCGACAAAAGTAAAAGTATGTCAAATGCAAATTATTCGCTAGGTAATTTAAAAACTTTCATCATGTCACTTCTAGTTCCTTTTTGTGAAAATGGAATCAGGTTCAGTTTAGCCAGTCGATCTCCGTATGAGAGCCTTTCTATTCGAGGTAACTACTATGTTGCGGTTCTTTGAATATTTTCTAACAGCTCATTGTCTTTTTTAGACAAAAGCTAGCCGTTTATATGCAGTTCTTTATCATCGACATTATTGTGGGGTAACTGTGCCCTAGCAAAATCATCCGCAATCAAGCCACTGAATATCGAACGGTTAACCGATACTCTTCAAAATCAAGGACAGCCAATTACTTAATTACTTACTTACGCCTGTTACTCCTAATGGAGCATAGGCCGCCGACCAGCATTCTCCAACCCACTCTGTCCTGGTCCTTCTTTTCTAGTTCCATCCAATTCTTGTTCATTTTTCTCATGTCTATTTCCATTTCTCGGCGTAATGTGTTCTTTGGTCTTCCTCTTTTCCTTTGGCCTTGATGATTCCATGTGAGGGCTTGTCTTGTGACGCGGTCCGGTGCTTTCCTCAATGTGTGTCCTATCCACTTCCAGCGCTTCTTCCTGATTTCTTCCTCAGCTGGGATCTGGTTTGTTTTCTCCCACAGCACGTTGTTGCTAATAGTGTCAGGCCAACGGGTCTGAAGTATTTCGCGTAAACAACTGTTAATAAACACCTGTATTTTCTGGATGATGGCTTTCGTAGTTCTCCAGGTTTCTGCCCCATACAGTAGAACTGTCATGACATTTATATTGAAAATCCTTACCTTGGTGTTGGTTGACAGTTGCTTTGAGTTCCAGATGTTCCTCAGTTGTAAATATGCTGCTCTTGCTTTGCCAATCCGCGCCTTCACATCTGCATCAGATCCACCCTGTTCATCAATGATGCTGCCCAAATATGTGAAGGTTTTTACATCTTCCAATACGCATCAGTTAATCGCACGTCATGAACTGACTCAAGCGGTGGTGGTCGTGCACTCTTCCTTGTACCTACTCTTACTGATAGTTCCGTAAGTCTTCGACATTTGATGCTGACTGAATTAGTTTCACTGGAAACACTCACAGATTACCGACGTATGTGATCTGTGTTGAATAATTTGGAGCCGACTCAAGTTAGGCGGGAATGTCGTGAACAACCAGCCAACTTTGAAGTCATGCTTCGCGGTCAGTACTCATTGTGCATACTCTTTCGACGTATCCAAATACTATAGCCGCTCTAGTGATCGTACGACGCAAACGACCTGTGATGCGTTTAGTGATGAGCCCGACGTGATCTGGCACACCTGATTGCAGACTGTGACTGGTCCTCTTTGGAACTTTATGTATCATTTCCTTACTTTGATGTTTATCTATTTTGATGTTGTTTGAATCGTCAATGTCCTAACTATGGATATATTGAGGTTTATTAGAGTTTTATGTTTTATGTAGTCTCATGAGTTCTAAAGTGTATCTAAATACTACAGCATTTCTGAGAGTTTATATTGATCATTTTTTCTCAAAAGAATAGTTTTGTGTCATTTCAATTCGTAGCATATTTCTACAAATGTACTGGCGATATTAGTAGAGCCTCATTAATCTCCCGAAGAGCTGAAGTTGGCTAAGAACGAATTTGACTACATGATAGGCTTGGAAATCATCATCAGGCCTTTCGATCTCTACGCAAGTCTGCACATGATTTTCGGCTTAAGAAACGCTGTACAAACATTCCAGAGATTCATCGATGGAGTTTTGTAGGGTATCAACTTCGCAGATGTGCATGTTGATGACTGCTTGATTGTAAGTCCAGACGGAGAATCTCGTCTCCAGCACCTGAACCTTGTCTTCGAACGACTGCAAGAACACGACATTACTGTAAACATCCAGAAATGTGAAGCCAGCACCGACTCTCTAGATTTTCTCGGGCAAACCATTGATGCTCAAGGCATCCGACCTCTAAAGAGCAAAGTGGCAGCTATTCTGGACTACCCAGAGCCGACTACAATAAGGCAACTACGCACCTTCAACGGCCTAGTAAATTTCTGCAAGTGGTCCATACCGAAATGCGCGTCTTTTATGAGACATTTGACTGACCAACTTCGTGGAAATTCGAAATCCATCGATTTGGAAAATAACACGAAAAAGCGTTCTCTGCAGTTGAGGAACTTATCGCCAAATCAACATTGCTTGCATACCTATACACTGGAGCACCCATTAGTATCGCGGTAGACGCATCCGACTCGGCAATCGGAGGAGTCTTACAAAATAGGTAAACCACAACTGATGACCTTTGCCATACTTCTTGAGACGGCTGCTAGACATCGAATCGAGGTGTAGCATTTTCGGTAGGGAACTCCTAGCCATGCGTCTTGTTGCACGGCACTTTCAACACTCTGTGGAACTCTGCCTGCCTGTAGTCACTCTTCGTGCTATTGATAGAAGAAACCAGACT